ACCCTAAACCCTAACCCCTTTTCTTCTCCTGCCCTTCATGGGTCCAAGGTTCTTGTAACAGCCCGGCGCCTTCCAGGAAGCCATCCTCCATCAAGGCCTGCGCGAGCTTGTAGTCGTAAATATGCTGGGGGGTCCCCTTAAAGGGGTTTATAGGGATTACAAAATATCGGGATTGTATGGGGTATATGGGGCTTAGGGTTTCCCAAAATTACAGGTACCTTTTTGCAGGTCTTTTTAATGAGGATTAGAGTCTTAGAGTACTTTGGTGTCTATGTTGGGGTCCCCCTATTGTGGGAAGCTAACGAATATGCCCGCTTCGGCATGATTGCATACGAGACGAGTGCTTGTTGTTGCTACCCATTGGGGGGTGTATTTTTCGGAGGAAGTGAGTACATGTTTGTTGAAGTCATACTTGTGCCTACGCTGCCAGCCCTTTTCGTATATGATTCCTGCACATCGAGGTCAACTATAAGCTAACCTAAGCCCTTTTGGACCTAAACCCCAACAGGAAACAAGATGCTCGGAATCGGTAGGCTTGAAATCAGTCATTGAATCATTTGCTCAGGTAATGCACAAATATGCAGTTAGCAAGTGCATTTCCAAAATAAAAGTAAGTGTGACACCAAGAACTCCCTGTGCCAATCGCAATAGCAACATTGCTGGACAACAAAACTGAGCATGCACCTTCTTCTGGCCCTTCTCTTGGAAGATGCCTGGCACAATAAAACACTTCCGTTGAAGATCATGCTGGAACTCATGGAACGCAGCGCAGATCCTGATGCGAGGGGCCCGGCAAGTCTTGCTGCCTCAATTTGGCTACTCCTGAACTTACTCAGTGGGGCAAAGTAGGGGATAAGGGAATATGATTTAAAAAAAGATACAATTGATGTGGAAAAGGGATCATATTCCCCTATTAACCCCCAGTAAGCTGACTCAGACTCCGCAGGATGTCCTTATAAGCCCACTCCTCTGGCCCCTGTCCCGCTCCAAATAACTTGCTCCGCCACCTGTCTTCAGGCCCTGAAGCAAGAGCTGCCGCAGTTTGGCTTCTCTGGCTGAAAGAGCAGCTCCTGACAGAAATTAAGTTCTACCAATATAAGCAATAGGGAGTTTTGCGGAGCCTAAGTCTCCGAGAATAAGGGCGCCATAACAGTACTGCAATTTGAGCAAAACGGTGCTTTGCCTCTTACGTGTTTCTCATGTTCTTGTATGATGCACACACACCAAGCAGGTGAAGGGTCCTGCTGCGATGGTCATGCCATCCCGAACAATCTTGGCAAAGCCTTGGACGCGCACATTGCCGGCGCACGGCTTCCTTGGCGCTTGGGATGGTCATAAGTAGGGTATTACCAAAGCGCTTCAAAATAGAATTGTCTACCCCGAAGCGAATAACCCTGATGATGAGAGCCGAAAGCTCCGGTCCATAACTTTGAGAAGTGGCGTCCTTCTGCAACCAGGCACTGGCTCCTCATTTCTTCAGTTGAGGGTCCCGTCATCCTGCGTCGTCAGCTCATAGGAGACAAGTGCCTTGGCAAAGCCATGCAATAAGCGAGGCACTGAGTCAAACCTTTGTGCTGGCATGACCGGGGAAGCCCATGTGTTTAGGGTTTAGGGATTCAAGCTGTTTTTTGTTGAAGCTCTTTCTGGCTTACACTAGAATACTGCCGGTGTTCTTGCAGGGACCACTTAGGATGCCAGTCATGCTGCACCATAAGTACAACAAGGTCGTGTGAGAAAGACCAGGCTACTGGTAACAACCCACAGGGCATTCTTCAAGATACAGGGCGCCTCAAAATGCTAGAGATGCATGAAGACTGGAACATGCTGCTCAATACCCAGCATTACATGGGGCTCCTTTTTAAAAAAATCATGTGTGCGTTCGTTAAAAAGCTCCTCGTGTAGAATCCTATGCCATGTATAACAAGGGGGAGTCCTATCTCTTTTGGGGGTTTTGGCGCAGGGTAAGAGAAAGGTCGCTTTTGGTGGGTTGCATGCAGTCATGGTGGGTGCAGTATTAGATTGAAAGGTATTGCTTGTTTTGTGGCTTTTGCACGATGCCTACATCTCACGAGCAGTCCTTCTCTTCGTCGCTAAAACAGGCGCACGGAGGATTGCTCCTGTGGGGATCTTCAAAGCAAGCGACGTCCAAACCTCACAACGCGATCATCCCTAATTGTTATAGGGTTTCGCGATGCTATCCCCAATGATGGAGAGTCAAATGGAGAAGTGCATGGAAGATGAAACAGAAACCAGGTTTACATAGGTATATAGGGATTATGTACTGTAGGTTATCCCCAACAGGGAGAATGGAAGTATCTGCACGCTGTGGCGAAATCTCCCAAACCGCTGAAAAGTTGGTTAAACCGAATTTGCATCAACAAGTCATAGGACAAACGGACCTCGTTCAATACGCTGCTGATAGTAGCCGTAGAGAATAATTTCTACCATGGCTCAGATGGCTAAGCTGAAACTAGCATTTATTCCAAACATCTGACCAACACTTCACCAAATGTGAAGTACACTGTGCATCGGGCTGTTAGGGACGAAGGGCCGTTTGTGCGGCTCTTTAGGACTGCTTAGGGATCGTTCTGAGAAACTCCCGAATGAATACCACTGGAGCAGAGACAAAGAAGACGCTATACCCTAAACCCGAATAACCCAATTCCACTGGAGCAGAGAAAACGAAGACCGAGGACCTCACACCAGGTGCCAGCGCGGCATAGTTGTCTCCGTCTGGGCCTTGGGATTCATAGTCAGGGGTTTGGGACTTTGGGATCTTTTTAGGAGGTCTGAATACATCATATAGGGGTTAAATAGGGATGGTATAAGGATAATGGAAAGAAAATGGAAACTACTACATTACAATGGGGTATATATTGATTAGAAAGTGATTTCGCGTGATGATTTTGTAGGCTATAGGGCTACCAAGATCATTCTACCGCCTAAGGATTATGCGCGAGGGATCGTTGAGATCGCCGAGGACTGCTTCAATTTTTTAGGTCTGTGCAAAGAGATCATACAGGCTGACTTACTGGTTCTTAGTAGGGACTTAGCGAACATAATACCTATGTAATATATACAAGTATTCCCTTGTTCCCTACTGTAACCCCAATATATACCCTATCATAATGGCAGTAGCTTCCATGTCCTTATCCATTATCCCTAGCTAATCCCTATATAGCCCCTAGATGATACATCTAGAAGCACTCAGTCAGCTAAGGATACCCTAAACTTGGCCCTAAACCCTTCTCCTTAAACCCTAAGCCCTAAACTGCCCTAAACCCTATATAACATGTAGTATTTTCCATGTTCTTTTACATTATTACTACGTCCCCCATAAACCCTAGAAAAGCTAGCCCAACAGGCCCAGGCCGTCTTCGATTTGGTTTTTGTGCACGAAGATCTCCTCACTGACTGCTGGTTGGCAGGGTTTTGGGTTTAGTTGTTGTTTGCAGCGCTCCTTTTCTATCCGAAGACAGAAATGGGTTTATTGAAAAGGGTTTTCCTTAACCCACCCTGTTTCCGCCTGCATGACGAGCGGAAGAGTCCAAGATCAGATGGGAAACGGGACTAGGGTTGAGGGTTTATGTTTAGGGGTAACATTAGTATGGACTATTGTACATTAGAGCCCTTTTTGGGTTCCCCAATTTTGGGAAACTGCCATGTAGCGGGTGTAGTCGGTCTAGTTGTCCCATGCGCGGTTGCCCTGAAGGTGCACAGGAACCTTTGGAACAACATGGGCTATTCTCAAAATTATGGGCCCCTTTGGGTTGTAGACTAATTTATGGCACCTAAATAATTTAGGGGTACCGAAATGGGACCCTAATTTTGGGAAAAAACACATGACTCACGGTAGCGTGTCACGGCATGACATTGATTGCGGACCTTGCAGTCCTTAAACCTTGTGGAATCGCAAGAGATCAGAAAACAGATGGAAAAATGAAACTGCAAGCTACTAGTACCGTAAAATGAGTTTTCATGTTAATTTCCGTCCGCTGTCCACCTAGACTATCACAAAGGTCGGTACCAGAACACCTGCAGTCACCTGGCATCCTTTTACCAGCCCCATATTCAATATTGCAAAAGTTCAGCACAGAAAATACTACATCCCTGGCAAAGATACAAGGCCAGAGCAGGCTGTTTATGGACCAATGTAGACCCCTGAATCAGTTAGCAGAACCCTTGCCCAT